TTTTTTTTTTTTTTTTTTTTTAATGTGGGCGTTGTTTTGGGGTGGGGGAAGGCTGCCCGTCTTACATGGATCTTGAAAACGGGTGACGGGTTTATTGGGCAGCCCGGAGGAGCCGCCGCCGCCTCAGGGCACCTCAGGCCTGGGGAGAAGGCGCCGCCTTCCCCCCCACACCGCGCGGTCCCTCCCAAGGAGCRGGATGAGAGCTGCCCTCCGATTGGGCGCACCTCCTCCTGCCGCGGCCGCTCATTGGCCGGCAGAGAATAGCGCTTCCCCAAGCTCTGCGCCCATTGGCTCGCGCTTGAGTCTGCTCTTGCGCGGTCAGCCTAGCCGTGAGGAGAGCGGGCTCTGGGCTGATGTGGGGCCAGGCGCCGCTCAGCCAATGGGGCGGCGCGGGSCGGCCGCCGTGCGCCGCGCGGATCCGTCCGCGCCGCCCGCCGGGCCCTTCCCGCCCGCTGTGAGGGGACGGGGCAGCGCTAGGGCCGCGGCCGCCCTGGAGAGACCACGTACCGCCTGGAAATAACCCGACGGGCGGTTTAATATTGGGCGGAAGGTGGAAAACGTTGCCGAAATGGTGTGGGAGCAGCCTGGGTGCAATATTGAGGCGTTAGCATGTAACGGCCTCGCTTGGCGCTCCGCTGTGGTGATAAATGTCCCCAGCACTGCCAGGAGGGTATAACATAAAGCTCGGATTAACCCTGCCATGGGCGTGCGGGCAGGTGAAGCGTAAGCTGCCTGTTCTGGACATGGAGCTGTGTGTAAGAGGTGCTGAAAGCCCTGGTGGTCCAGACTGGTGCGGGTCCCCCGCATGGATCCATGGATCCCGAACAGATCTTCACATGTGCATGGTACTGGGGAGATTTCTTCCAAAATCACATGTGAAGGGTATTTCCAAAGGAAAATGATAAACTCAAAGGTGGACCCGGTGATGTCCCCGTGACCTTCAAGTTTAATAAAGCAACTGTATCCTGACAGCATAAAAATAGAAGTGTACGCTCRGTATATTATCATCTGCATACATTTATGTTATTTATACTCTATAGTATACCACTTGCCATCAAAGTCACGCTATTTTGCAAAAAAAAAAACGGTGACTTTACAGATACCATTGCGTAAATAGCAAGGTTACTAGTGCGATAGCGTTTAGTACCTCTTCTTGTCCAAAGCTGGCCCTTGGGATGTGCTGGCCGTCACCTATAGGRCGGTGGAAGACGTKGAGWGCCGAAAATCGAGCAGTTTGCACCSGAGGAGCCGGCGTGTGGGCAGCACGTGTTGCAAAAGCCGGGACGGTGCGAAACGTGGCGCGTGAAGCAACGCGCGCCTTGCCTCACTGGTGGGACAGAGACACTTATCAGCAGCATTGCCTCCAATCTCTGAAAAAACAAACGCGGCCAAACAAATGGGGCCGGGCCGAGTTCGCAGGCGCCGCTGTGAGGAGCGGCTCCCTCCGTTCGATGACCCGCTGCGGCGGCCGCGAGCCGAGCGGCAGGGCCGGGGCCGCGCGTTCCCTGCGCGGCGGCGCGAGGCGCGGGCTGCCCACGAGGCCGCCACGGAGCCGCCACAAGGGCGGCACGTGGGCACCGCGCGGCCACGGCTGCGGGTGGGGGGCGGCTGCCTCGGCAAGCGCGGGGTGTCACTGACGCCTCCCGGGGGACGGCGCCCCCCGCCATGTCCCCCCCGGCGGGCGCGGGGCTGCTGCTGGCGAGGGCGGGGCGCGGCGCCCCGCACTCCTTTTTCTCCGCGGCGGAAGGTTACGGCGCGGGGGGCGGGCGCCATGCGGCTCGCCGCCCCTTAAAGCGCCGCGCCCCGGCGGAAGGGCCCGCAGTGAGGGCGGGGGTGGCGGGAGGGCAGGTCGCGCTGCTGCCGCTGCGCCCGTGGGGAGGGGGACGCGCCGCGCTGCGCCGCCGCCCCGCGCTCTCCGCCCGCCGCCATGTCCCGCGAGCCCGAGATCATGGAGTCGCAGGTGATGTGGGAGCCCGACACGAAGCGCAACACGCACATGGACCGGTTCCGCGCCGCCGTGGCCGCCAGCTGYGGGCTCCGCTTGGGTGAGCGCTGGGGCGCGGGGCGGCCTCGGCCTCCCGTGGGAAGGGGGTGCACGGGGACAGGGACCCCGGACAGCGATGCCGGGGCGGGGGCCGCGCCTGCAGCCCCGCGTCTGGGGAGCGCTGCTCGATTTGGGTCTGCTCRGTGCTGGGCTGCGGGGTGGGTTGTCACTGGGCTCTGTGATGGGGACGGAGGGGTTTTGCTGTGGTCTGCCCGAGCTGTGGTGCTTCGGGCTCTGCTTCACGGTCACTTAGAAACGCGTGTCTGGCTGCTAATAGGCATGCAGTCATCTGGGTTAGCTGAACAATTCCTTGGCTTTGGGTTTCGCCCTGCTTGGAACAGGGTGGTTAGAGCAGGCTCCTTCCAGGAGTGTCTTCTCACCCAGATAATTCACATTTCTGACCCCTGACTGTGAGCAGGGTGTCAGGAATTGGTGGTGTTGGTTGGGTTCTTCCACCCTGTGAATCAGGTGGCTTTGAATGTGTTCAGGCATCTGACCCCCAGCTTTGATTATCTTGCTCCATCCTGTGTGAATATTTCCATCTGAAGTATTTTGTGTTGCTTTCCTCTTCCTAATCTGTCTGYCATAGCATGGATGATGGTGGGAGCAGCTTGTGCATGACTGGCAGGCTTGTCAGCCAGTATATATTGACAGCCTGTGGTGCAGACTAAGGCATTCTGGGGTATTGGCAACTTATGTGATATTTCTATTAATCTGTGTCCAGAAGAGGCTCTTTCCTTGGTGAGARCGTGAGCTGGTGGTAAGCCAGGTCAATGGTTTGACTGCTGGGGACTTTCCCACTCAARTGTAGTGCCCAAGTGCCCTGCTGCATAGGAAGCGACTTGCTGCAGGATTGCAGTGAACTTAAAATGCCCTGTAGTTTGTGCTCGTGTGATGGAGATTGTTTCYGTAAACATGGGCAGCCATCCGATGCAGCATTCAATGAGAAGGTGCTTCACCCTTTTTAGATGTCTCAGAGTCTGCTGAGTGGACTACCCTGTGTCTATAGGAATCTCTGTGCATTCCCACTACATTCAAGCTGGTGGCTGCTGGTCTGTGTGCTGTTTAGGAGGAAAGAGTGGATTCTTTGTAACATCAAGATATGGACTTGCTGAGACTTAAGGGCAATACAAACACTTTACTAGTGTGGCTCTGTCCAATCCTGAAAATGTAGTAATGAAATGCAGTGTTTCATTGCCAAATAACAGCTCTGTGCCCTGAAGGACTTCAATGGTAAAGCTTATTTGGGGCCCCACTCTATAGACAAGATGTATAGACAAGGCTATTTTTTATATTGTAACAAATCAAACTATTGGTGGCTGTAGCTTTTGGCTATAAAATGATCAGGGGTGTATTCTGTAGTTGGGTTTTGAAGGAGGCAACAGCTTGAAGYTTGTTTTAGGGAGGTTTTATTCCCCACACCACTTTGTTCTGTGTGCAGATAAGGGCAACTTGGGTGGAGTGTTTAAAAAGGGTTGGAGGCTGAGACTGAGGCAGGTATGTAGGCAAAAGAAYTACGGGGGGTGCCTTTGAATTTGAAATAGTGGAAGCAGAGAAAAATTCCTCATGCACAGATATCTAGTGAATGGTCTTACACTTACTGAGGAGATGGAGTAGAATAAGATGTGACAGGAACAAACTGGGGAGGGAAGCACTTATAGTGACTGAGGGTGAATAGTAGTGTAGAGAGGGGCCCTCCATCTTATTCTCTTAAAAGTGGAAGGTATCCTACCTGTACAAAGAGGACAAAAGATGACTTCTGAAGCATCACTTAGATAACAAGATGTGACAGTAAAGATAATTGGAGAAAATGGCTTCAAATGGCTCAGCTAAAAGCATCACATAGGAAATGAAATTGGCAGAGCAGGAAGTTTGCTACTGTCACTGATAGTGGGTATTTGTACCTAGTATGCATTTTGGCACAGCTCCGGGCAACATGAATGACTTGAATGTCACCTGTTAAGTCAGCAATAAAATTCTTCAGTTCATACCTGAAATTATTTTAACTTCCACTTCAGCACTGTTTGCATTTTTGTTTGTATGCTATGCCATCTGTTTCATGGTAATGTAAAACTTAAGCTGATCACTTCTTGATATTCTTGAATGTAGTATCTAGCTAGTAAACATCTCATTTAATCTTAGTGGAGATGTTCGTTTAACTTTAGTTTGAAAAGGTCAGTTTAGCTTAAAGCTGCAACTTGTTAGACTTTCATTTACAAAGAATGATTCATGATTGCTTCATGGTGGAGCTGTTCAGTATCAAGTGCAACTCTTYTCCATGCCATCCACAGAGGTCTTTGGTCCTAGACTAGAATCAGGCAGTGACTGTGTCCTGTCAGGGAACTTTCTTCCTGTACCCCGTTAAAGCATCATGTTGATGTCATGGGAATGGAGGTGTGGTCAACAAACAGGACTCTATTGTCTAGCTCTTGAATTTGGTGAGGGAAGGTAGATATTCTACAGAGGCCCTAGGAAAAGTTGTTTTCTCAGTGTATTGGCTAATGACTTGTAAAGATGGCAGGTGAAATGAGSCCATCTRTTCAGGTGTTCAAACAAGGTGTTTCTGATGCTGTAGTCACTTAGCATGAACATAAGTCATTTATAATTATGATCAGAATTATATTTCTGGGTTTCAGCCACAAGTCTAAAATGGAGACATGCATATCTGTAGTTTAATCTGACAATTCTCTGTATTGCACTAATACTTTTCTGTTACCTCTAGCCAACTACAATGACTTATACCAATGGTCAGTGGAATCCTTCTCAGACTTCTGGGCAGAATTCTGGAAGTTCAGTGACATTGTGTGCTCTCGCCTGTATGATGAGGTAAGCTGGTATATGTTGCATACAACTTTGAAACAATGAGAATTTAGTCTTTTGACCTGTACCTGGAACCTTCTAAGCTGCTACTGAGTAAGCGCTTGTGGAGGTAACACGAGGAACTCTTCATGTGTACAGTCCCGAATTTTCTTGTGTAGGGGACTAATGTTGCGTTGCTGATGGTTTTTTGTGCAGTGAAATTAAGATTTGTGGTCTTAGAACAGTTCTCACTGTAATGTCCTCAAATACCCTGGCAGTACTTTGGCTGCTTATGTGAGGATGCTACTGAAACTGCCACCTTTGATTTATGGTGGAAGCTTTTGAAATGCTGGCAGGCAGCCAAGCTTGAATGTTCCCTGAGCCAGCCTGCCTGATAAGCACTCCTGTTCCACTCCAGTTTGGTGGAACTGGTTCTGGAAGTCTTGAGACACATGGAGGCTGGAAATAACTTTGAGGGAATGGCTGTGGCTGAACATGAGTGGAATATGAGACATGCCACAGAGCACCTTTGAGGTAAAGGTGACTTGACCTTCCAAGTGGAGGATGAAGTTGGGATTCTTGCATGTTCCTTCAATTGGATATCAGCATCAACCTGCACTTCCTCCATCTGTGAACTGACTGATCGCTTCAGAAGCTTGATACAAAGCAGTCTTCCTCGAACTTTAGTGGAGAATGGTCTGAACTTGGTTCTTAATCCCTGGATGCCTTCTGTTCTGAGAACTTGGAGTATCAGAGATTCTGCAGAAGAAACTGGTAAGATTAATTCCCTCTATCTTGTCAACTTCTGTTGTGTGATAGATCAGCAGTACTTCCCTTCTTAACTCCTGCCATGAAACTGTGCTCAGGTGGAAGACAGTATTTCTGTCTTAATCTGTCCCACTCCTTAAGTGATAAAAATCACCAAGAATGCTAGAACTGGCCTGCTTCTTGAAGTGTACAGTTTACCTGTAAATAGCTTCATAGCTGTTTTCCAAAATTTTTATAATAGTTTGGATTAGGATGCTTCCCCATAAGGCCATTTTTTTCTATGTTACTTTATTCATAAGTTCTGAACTGCAGTGAGTAATACTGTTTGTGCTCTTGTCTTGCAGGATGGGCATTAAGACATCTGTCCTTACAGACACCATTGGCATGTTTGACTGAACACTTAAAGGGGCTAAACCAGACAATAGTGGCCAAAGTGAACCTGAGAATGAGAAGCAAGAAGACAGGCRTGCCTAGGAAGGCTTTAACTGGAGTTGGTGTGGAAGAACTGGGGTAGGGTGGGTCCAGAAGCTCAGAGAAGGACTTGTGATTGAAACCCTAGAACARGAGACAGTTGTTTGGGCACATTCTTCTGCAGAACTTTGTCCATTACTTACAAAACTTACTCTTAGCCTCTCCATTCCCTTTAGTGTCAGTTTTGGAGTATTGCCTTCAAGGCTTGGCTCAAATTCTGTTGAGCCTAGATGATGTGCTTGGTTGTGAAAAATCCTTGCCTTTGCGTAATTTCTGATGGATGTCAGGAGGAAAGGCTGGTCACAGTAACTCCTCTGTGACCGTGAAGAACATGAGGCTTCCCACATCTTAGTGTTTTCTGGCAAACAGTGGGGATCATACTTGGAAGAAAATAAAGCTTTTCATGAACCAGATTTGACTGTTGTGTTCCTAACTAGTAAGACCTCTATACTGTCACAAATCAGATTGTTGGAATACTGGTAACTTTGCATGTTGTGATATGAGCTTCTGCATAAGTCTGTTTGGAGTCTGTGGAAAGATTGTCCTTTTTTTTTGAGCTCTATAGGCACACAAAGCCTTTAAGTGTGGGAAAGATGAAAGTTGCAAGTAGCAGCTGATTGGGAAATATGACCTAAAGCTTTGCTCCTGAAGTGCACCTGACAGCTTTCCCCTTGTGGGGTGTGTGGGAGGGCAGGGGGCTGCTTTGAGTGTTCTAGTAGCTGGTCTCTTCACTTTCCTGAAGTGTGCAACTCCTGCTTCAGCACATGCAAAACACATAGCACGATTCAATGTAGGACTATTTCATATAAATGGTAAAATTTAWTTCTCAAAGATGTAGTGCCTAAGGTAAGCACAAGCTTCCACRGGCACATGATAGTATGTATAAGTAGCAGACAGTGCTGTTATCTAAGCACTTGATTACAACTACTATTAAAATACATGTAGTAGATACTGTAGAGGGAACTGCTGATAAGTGCAAGTTGTTTATTCCTGGCTAGCAAGGCTAGGGAAGTGGTTGCTGCCTGGTCAGCTGCTGGAAAGAGCAGTTGTAGAACAGCAGCTGGGGACGTAGGAGTGCAGGGATACCTGGCATGTTCTTCCAGCTGCACAAACTGGCCTTGTAGGGCTTGGGACTGCTGTGAGTAGGAGTAAAGCCCTGTGTATCTAGTGAGGGCTCATGTCAGCAATGCTACTACTGCCTGCAGCAGTTGCTTGCCTTTCCCTGCAGAGCTGCTCAGCCCTTGTGTGGAGCTTGTGKGTTTTATACCCTTGCTGGAACTAGGAATGAATTTGTGCTAAACTTCTAGCACACCTTGAGTTTSTCTTGCCTTCTAAGATCTCTCTTTAAGGGAGAGACTGGTTTGCATAATGGGCCCAACTGGGATTTCTAGGCATTGTGCTGGTAGGAGAAAAGAGGAGCATTAAGTAGATGGATCTTGTGCCATATACTGATGGAGCTCTTGAAAGGGRCATTTAGCTTCAGGAAAGAATAGAGCTATAGCAGACCTTGCGCTGTGTTGTTAAAGCTGGAGAAGTCGGCAATAAAAGTCTGTTTAAATGGCTTCTAATGAGGGCAGTAGTATATTGCTGGGAAAGAGGTGAGTTGGGTAAGCATTAGAATTTGATTCTAGCTATTTTTAGAGTGCAGATCTACTTGGCATTTTCACTTTAGGAAATTAACTTGAAAATACCTAGTAGTTTCCACATAAAGCTCTAACTTTTTCTGAAGACATCAATTCTAGGATTGCCTCTGGTGATGTTCTGTACATCTCAAAGTATAAAAACATTTTCATCTGATTTGAATGAGATATTTTGAGTTTCATCTGACTTTCAGAGAACTACTTCCAGTAGTGCCCATGGAGTTTATTTTCTGGAGCCTAAGGCCATAAACTGATGCTTTCTGAAACAGTTATACAATAAAGTGTCCATTTAAAGGTTGCAGGATGTGTACAGCCTTGTGGCTGAATCTAAGCATGGGAGCTTTTAGGATGAAGGAACAAACCATAGTGAATTTTAGATAAATGACTCTTTTCCTACTAGTGCTTTTAAAGGTACATTCTTAAATGTGACTTACTGGGGTGACCTTATTTTGATTGAGAACATTAGTTTGCTTTAAAAAAGTTTCAACTGAACTCCCTTTTCTAACTTTTCATTGTAYTTAATTCTTCTCATATCTTGGAGTCCTGAATGATAAATTATTTAATATGCATTTATAAATTTTTGAACTTTTTTCCTTCTCATTAAGAGTAAATTAATGGTATAAGTTTATACTCTGCTACTCTGTAGTATAGCACTTGTTAGCTGTAGAGGCTGGTAGCAGTGCTTTTGCACTCTAAATGAAGCTATGGTGTCTTTGTGTTTGTTATAAATTAAAACATGGAAGATTGGAGAGAAAAAAAGGACTAAACTTTAGTTATGAATGATTGTGCAAGTAACTAATTTAGCTGGTGAGTTGTTTGAGTTCCTTCTGCTGATGTTGCTTTTTGAACTTTGTGTCTCATATTGGCCAAAACTGGGTGCTCTCACCTCATGCTTTGGCTTTCCCGAGGGGAAGGCTGGCCTGGCAGAGCACTGTTCTGTTCTGTAGCTAAGTCCCTGCTCTGGATGATCCCAGAACCCAAACTGTGGCACGTTGTGTGCTTTGCAGCCTGCATGAAGCTGTACTGGTTTGGCTCACTCGCATGTTTGAGGCTGGTCTGAAAGCAGAACTAGAAATACTTTCAGACTGCTTCTAATAATGACGCTGCTTGTGCTGGTTGGCAGGTGATCAGTCTTTCCAGGTCTGCAGTTGCAGGATCTATTGTCTGTTTGCCACCTGCAAAGCAGAGGAAATCGTTCTTGCCTAAGAGTGTATTGAGTATGACATTAAGTAACAACTGTTTAATGATCTGAAAAAGGAAATGATGTTACAGTTTTCCAGAAATGTATCTTTTTTTATTTGTTTTTCAGGTAGTTGATACATCCAAGAGCATTGCAGATGTCCCAGAGTGGTTTAAAGGCAGCCGCCTGAACTATGCAGAGAATCTTCTAAAGCACAAGGAGAACGACAAGATTGCACTTTATGCAGCAAGTAAGTATTAATTGGTAAAGATACTGTTTTTACTTCTAAGGCTAAGTCTTGTGACTGCCAAACACCACTCAGTAAGTTGACTCTAAGCTTATGTAGAATTGACACRATTTATGTTATTCTTGGTAAGTGTTAAAATTTAAACACATCACTGGAGAAAAAACAGTGGAGTCCCTCAAATATTTGTCCAAATAATTAAAGAAATCCTTATCCACCAGCTAATTCACTAGGTTGCTATGGTTATGTTGTCCMTTTGATATTGCTTTTTAGGATATCATTTGTATATTGGAAACTCCCTGCTTTGTGTAGCATGATCATRGGGGAAAATACCAGCAGGAGCAAAATTATTTTCCAGTTTAATCAATGCCTGAGTAAAGTGAATGAGTAGTGTGTGAGTAGAGGCCCACCTGCATGTTTTTCCTGATCTTCTGTCGTGTTTAATCTTCTTAAGTTCTCTTGACTCAGTGTGTGGTGTGTATTAAATCTCTCTGCWAGCTCAGAGTGGTGCTTAGGAACCTATGTCAGGTTGCTGAAATTACTAGGGATGAATCTGTGGGAGCTCTGTGGATACAAAAAAAAACCCCACAGGAATTGTAGGTGTAACTTCCYTTAACCGTTTTCCTAGTTACTGACTCCCATTGTGAATCTCTTGTTTGTGATTCAGTAGGGCCCCCTTATCCTGGGGGACCTTAACCACGGCACAGCATCCTGTTTCCTGTTGCTCCATGCAAACACTGTCTGTAGATAGGCCCCATTCAGGGAATTGTTGCACGCTGTTGGTTCACATCACCTGCTCTCTTGCTCTGTCTTGGCCTAAATTCACCTGGGTGCGTGTCTGAAGAAAGAGAAAAAATAACTTTCCCTGCTGAGGGAAATCATCCTTATTGTAGCTGATCTGGAGAAACAAATGGAGTGTGTTTTTGTTGTTGCATTCCTGGCATGTATGTTTTCATGAGAAATGCTGGATACTGGAAGTGGGATGGGCCAAATGGTTTGCAGGAGTCAAAYTGAGGCAGTGCAGGACTGGAGCTTTAAGAAGGCAAACCTTGCRTTTCATAACATCTACACTTGTTTTCTTTTGCCAGTGAGTTATTAAGAGCTTACATAACATTTGACATGCAGTACAAAAAGGAAAATTCCCTGCAGATCTTTTCAGAGATGAATGTAGTCCATTGTGGTATATGTATTTTGTGTATTTTTGCAAAGACACATGCTTAAAAACCACATTGAGACCCTAACTATGAGTGGTTTTCTGCTCTACAGTGACTTGCCCTGAGACTGCAAAAACTGAGTGACAGGGGAAAATGAGGTTGTTCTTTGTGTTGGAAAGCTGTCTCAATGAGTGCTATCTATTTATTGTGACACACCTTTTTCCAGTCATCAGCTTGCATTTTTATATTACTGTCTTTAAAAATAAAAAAGCTCTCATGTCTCATTAGAAAACTACTGATTGATTAATGCTGGATTTCTTTTATATATAAAAAAAAAACCCTTTTTACAGCCTTAGAGGAACAGGAAAAAATATATTGTTGAGGGAACATTTTTTCACTAGAACTGTTTCATATTCTCTTCCGGAATTATTTTTTGTACTAGATTCTACTTAGGTTGCAGTGTACAATATCTAATTGAATCTACTTGTAAATCTTTTTTCTTCAGAGGAAGGCAAAGAAGAAATTTTGAAAGTTACTTTTGAAGAACTGAGACAAGCTGTAGCTCTGTATGCTGCAGCTATGAGGAAGATGGGAGTTAAAGTGGGAGACAGAGTTGTGGGTGAGTAACTTTATCTTTTGAAGGACAGGTTGTGAAGTTTTCTTGAAATATGTAAATGAATACTCAGTTGTAAGAACTTGAATATCAAGTAACTTTTCACAATGAATACTCGGTTGTAAGAACTTGAATATTAAGTAACCTTTCACAGAAATATTTAAAGAGAAGACTCTTGTGCTGCCACATTTGTATGAAATACATTTTTAGAGGGAAGGAAGCTGGATTAGCCTGCAAGTTCTCAAGCACTAGAGAGGGAAGGAAAACATTTCATTCCTTGCTTTACTGAAGTCTTTTATGAGCGCTCTGCTGGAAGCAGAAATGATGGAGATTTTGCACCTAGCTATGCTCTGAATCATGAAGTCTGGCAGATTTGAACAAGGGCAGTGTTGGGAATTAGGGTACCCAGTTTTGTTCCCCCTGGCAGCTGATACTTTCCTTACATGTTGTTGCTTTGTGAACAGGTTGTACAGTGTGCAGTCGAAGCAATAGACAGGTAGCCAAGCTGGTCTCAGCTCTGTCAATGTACTTTGTTTCCGAGTTGCTGGTTTTGATCATCTTAAGTCATTCTGYGTCTGCATTTCACATGCTCTCCGAAACACTCTTTAGTTTGTCAGTGTGGTGCAAGTCAAAACTAATCTCATGGAAGCTCTTTGACTCCTACCTTGTTCTACTGATATGTGTATCCATCTTGCTATAGGAATTGTGCTCTTTGAGCAATACTTGGCAGCTTTCCTAAGTTTGCATAAATTTTGATGTGGTGAAAACGTAGTGAGCAAAGTAATTGCTATATCTTTTGCATGCTGCAAACCAGAGCTTGATCCTGTATCTTCAATATCCAAAGACTGTGCCTTGTTCTTACTAAAAGCACCATAATGATCTCCAAATGAAGATGGAAAGTATGTCAAGAGATCTCATGCTTGTGGTATAAGCACATGTGCTGCATATACATGGTACAAATATTCTGCAGAACTAATAACTGGACTTCTGATTGACAGCTGTTAGCTTGATATTAGAGATATATATATACATATAGAGCCACCCATCAGAYGAGAGGATTGCCTGAATGAAGACTTAAGCTAAGATGCTTTAATTTTCTTTTCAGTTTCCATCTTAACATTAGTAAATTCCTCTCTGACAAATGGCTGAGGAGCAATAGCCTGTGTGGAACCTAAGAAATGAATAAGAAAGCTTGTACTATATAAAAACTGAATATTTAGAACTTGCACGGTAGGGTTTTTTACTACCTGTGCTCTGTGTGCATCAAATGATAAATGTGGATTGTATGTATCTGACAGTTGCCACCACATGCAGGTAAGCTGTATACAATTTCTTATAACTGGAAATCAGGAGATCATGAAAGCAATCCAAATGTTATTCAAATTTTTGTAGACCCTCTTTCAATACTTCCTGTGAACATTACTTGTTTCGAAGTACACTTGGTTGTACCCTTGTGTCTTCTATACTGAAATTTCTCAGGATACGTTCAAAACAGGTTGAGTTCTGTTTTGTATGCTGGTGCTTTTAGGGATTTAGTGCATCAAACTATTATATAAATAATAAATGCAKGAAAATGAGTGGTATACATGAAAATCTTGCATGGAAAAGTCTGTATGTGTTGGGGGCAGTATTTGTATAAAAAAGTAACAGCAGCTCCAGCAGCATCTCTGGTGTCTGTGTGGATAGATACCTACTGTTCTCTCCTGCTTTACTGTCTTACAGGTTACAGTCCATTTCTTAGCGTGAGCTATCGGTATAGAAAGCCTAATTGAGATTTTAATGAAAAAATAAAGTTTTGTTTTCTAGAATAACAGATGGAACGTTAATGTTCAATATGACCAGATGCAGTCATGTCAATTGGGAACATTCCTTGTGAGTTAATRTTAAACTGCCTTGTGTGCATGAGATTTTATTGTGTTCTGAAGTGCAAATACTTGCACTTAAAGCACTTTTCAGTCTTGATTAATATTTCTAGAATTAGTAATATCAAAAGCATCAGAAACCTTATTTTGGAAAAAAAAAAAAGAAAAAAGGGACCATCATTTTGTTTTGTAAGCAGCTCTTTAAGATCTACCACATGACAGAACTCTGCCCTATAGCTAAAGAAGAACAATTCTACAATTGAAATTTAGTAGTGATAGTTATACTAATTCAATTCTAATTTTGATGACAATTCCTTTTAGTTAATGACAGTGTTTTGTGGACATAACTGCCAGCTGGCTGACCTTCAATCTTACTTGCTATTGGTGCTGGACTCCTCAAACATCTCAGGAGCTTAAGCACAGATTTTTTAGGAGTTGGTTTATTTGTAGAAGCAGGCGTACACTGCTTTTGGAGTCCTTAAAAGCTTCTTTCTTTCATCTGAACAGAAGAGATTAATAAATCTGGGTGTCCCTTTGTTTCCTTTAATCACTGAATTTTCCTGGAACTCAAGTAGAGCCTTTTCATTTACCCAGTGTCTTCACTGTGCAGTGAAGACTCAGAGTCCTGATCTGGCCTTGACAGATTGTTTTGCTCTTGATAGCAGCCTGTATCTAAAGAGACCTTCTATTATGAGAGAAATCCAGTAGGATTTTTTAACAGCAATCCAAATATATATGTATTTTTTAGATTGAGCCTCAGCTTGTGTTTCACATGTTTCTCTCTGATGCCAGATGATACTGGCAGTCCCTGGAGGGGCTGAAATGTGACAGAGCAGTTGGAGGCTGAAGCTGCTGGCTGTTCTGCAAATCCCAGATGGAAATGGAGGAAGAGATGTTAAGTGCTGGGTGGAAGAGCTTGAGTCATGGACCCACTTGTGGTATCAAAGATGAGGCTCCCCAAAGTTCAGCAGTACTCACTGGGACCTAATTTGCTCCAAAGCTTATGGCAGATGACAGAAGGAAGGGTCATGCTTCGTGCTACTTATTCCTATGGTGATTTAGGGCATGATTTTACTGCTTCTGAAAAATCTGCCACTTATTAGCTACTTTATTAATTTTATTTTAGGTGTCCAGCACTTTTCTGGACCCTTTCTGTCCACTTTTCTGGACCCTGGTCCCCTCATTGCAGCTTTTTCTTAAAATCACTTAAGATTCTAATAGTTCAAGACCTTACACAAGACCATTGTCTTTTTTTGCTTTATTTCCTGTGAATTTCATTCCTGTTCTTTACCGTATCTAAGATATGACCGGATAATCTTTTCATTGCGTTTACTGTATCTTCTAGTTGGTTAAATAGKTTTTTGCAGTTACATCATGGCAGTAACGTGCTCAAACCAGAGGTGGGTTGGTGTGGGTGGACAAGCAGCATCGTCAGCACTTYTGCAGTTTGATTACTCCCTGGTCTTTCCATTGCTGAGGAGATTGCATTTAATAATAAACATAACTGAAGCAGGTGTGTGATGAAACACCTTTTCTTGTGCAGATAACTTGCAATGCTGTCAATGCCTGAACAGTTGGAGGAGACGGCTGCAATAGCTAATCCAAGCTGCACAAATCCAAGGGCGAAGTCCTCGTGGTCTCCCACTGGCCATCTGTTTGGTGCCTAACCGTGCTGTGGGAATGGAATAAAACTGGGAGTGCCTCTTTTTAACCTGGGGATAGGTTGCTTCTATTGTATCCCTGTAGGCAGCTTTGTTCTAGGACAAGTCAGCAGTTAAAAACAGAGCAATCTTTCCCCTGGGTTCCCACAAATGTGCCTCAGCAGAGCATCCATGAATTGCATTGTTTAAATCTGGTGTTTTATCTATAGTAACTGTATTAGCCCGAGTGCTTACGTRGGTTTTAAAGCTAGCTTTGTAAGAAGATTAGCTTGTTACTAATAGTCTGAGGCTGCAGTAATGCTAGGTGGGATGACCACAGAGGAGATCCTACCAAAGTCTAAAATGCTGAATTAATATCAAGGAGCAGGAACCTGGTCTTTGAAACTCTCACCTTTATGTTTGAGAGCCAGGGTGAATCAATAGCATTAGCCATTGAGAGCATATTTTATTGCAACTTCCTGCAAACTTCCTGTTTTTTCTTTTTGCATTCTTTTAAGGATTAAGCTACATCTTTGCAGGGTCCAAGATTGATTATTTCAGGTTGCTATAGATATGTGAGGGACTCTGTTTCTCTGTACATATTTCTGCTGCTTTATGAAGGCATTAGCTGTTTTCAGAGAGTGTTCTGAGTCCTCTGAGAAAATGAGATTTGCTCAGATGTATCTGTGYTGAGATTAGCTGTGCTCAGACTCATCAGTTCTGATGCTTTGCCAAAATATCAAATCAAGGAATGTAGAGACTCCAATTAAATTTATGAACAAACATAGAATGGATAATTAAATTAGCCCTGCCACTTACCTTCCGTAGCATGGAGCTTTTGTGCATATGTGAGATGTGAGAATGGAACAAAACATTTTCATTTCCTAGAGTCCACTTTTAATTTTGAAAGGTCAGTAGTAGTAGTTGGTAACTTTTGAATTTGGGAGCTACTATGAAGGACAAGTAACCCAAGATGTTTTGTTGCAGTGTTTTAGAGGATCTCATAGAACACARCCACACTTATTCATGGTGTGTGGTGCTTGAGACTTTGGCAATGTGGAAATCCCAGCAAGCAAGCTGTTTGCCTTCAGCAATCAGATAAAGGTGTGGAAATGCAGAGCAAGCTGCACTACGTGTTTCATACCTGCTGGCGCTTCAGGCTCATGCTCGTAAGCACAACCTCAAAGCCAGCTGACAAATAAAAAGTAATTGATTTAATTGTCTGGTTGAGAACAATAAACAGACCTGTGTACTTGCCTGGAGGGTTTTAGGAGGAACAGAGCAGAGGAGAACCTGTGTGTGAAGGAACTAGGGCTTATAAGCCATGGGCAAGTAATTGTGCTGCTTCACAGCTTGGAGACATCCTCTAGTCTTCAGTGCTATCTGACCTGTTGATAACCCTATCTGAGAAATGCAGAGTGGAGATATTTGAGAGGAATTAAAAGGAACTGCTGCCATCACACAGTTCAGGCTGTTCTGCTCTGTAGATTTCAAATCATTGTTCTGGAGGAAGCTTTACCTTAAAACAAGGAAAAGGCGCCTTTGCTGCTCTCTGTACTTGCAGTTTTTATTGAATGAAAATGAACAAAACACCAAAAGCTGCAGGCAGCTGCAGTGAACAATTTGCACCTTATGCTATGAGCTTTTTACACATAACAAGATACCTTTTTGTCCAGAAACTGCTGGGTATAAACCAGGATTTTCAAAGGAACTGAAGCTGATGCTCCGCAAAGCACAGGAGTTTAGAGATTAGCTGAATTTGGTTGAACCTGATTAATAAAACCAATTTCACTTACATCGAATCATGATGRAAAAAAATCTATATTAAGGCTTGCTATTGAAATTATTCTTTTTGCAGTTGGCAAAGTGATTTTTTTCGAATAGGCAAAAATGGAATTTGTTACTTTTACTCAAAGCTAAAATATCACATGAATCATGTACTCTAAGATCTGTGGGTTTTGTTCCTGTCCTGAACAAGTACTTCAATAAGTACCTTTGAGCTTGGAAAGAGCCAAACATTAGTGAGTTTTTGCTGCTTGGTAGAAACTGTGAAGGACCTGCAACTTGCAGTGAGGTCTGGGGTCTGTAGGTGACCCTTACAGAAGAGACATTTAAAGCATTTTCGAGCATTTTATTGCTTTTTAAGGCTGTTTTCAGAGTTCAAATTAGATGTCCAAATGTTGCAATCATTGTCCCTCTTTTAAGTACTTAGACATTGCTCAGTTACTTAAAAAGGCTGCTTTGAAACTCTGTATCTTTGATCTAATTTGCTGTGGTTTAAGCGTGAATTTTGGATGTATGTTCTTAATTTGTAGGCTAGATTCTGATCAATTGAGGGTCAGCCTCAGTCATAGAGCAGGCTCTCTGGAGAGCTGCTTAAACTGAGGCAGCTGAAAACATAACTTTCTGACATTAGCTTCTTCTGTATACTTCAATAAGGTGAGTTTAAATCTTGAAAGCTTCTTGCAGGCTAGTAATAAAACTGAAGAGCTAATTTGGGGTAGGAATGTCCCAGAGCTTGTCCTGCTGTATTCCCTTTTCAGCTGAAATGCTGGTTTTGCTTGTTTGTGGTTAAGGTTTCTGGCAGCACCTACCAGACAAACCTTTAGCTATGCAAAATTGATTCTCTGCTTTGAAACCTTAATAGTCCAAAACAATGCCAAAAAAAAAACCTTCTCCACCCTCCTGCTCTTAGTGTCTGTGCCTAGAATATGCCTTTCAGAGGTGCTGTACATATGTATGTGAGCATGCATGTGTTGATGGCAATTGGAGGAATGAAGCCAGCTAAAAGTCACCTGGTCTTTTCAGGCTATTTGTCATTTCTGCTAAGCAAGCAATGAAATGTTTATTTTTCTTCCAGTAAATGAAATATATGAGTACAGAATGTATTGAAAGAGTATGTGAGAAAGGCTTCCTTCTGACATGACCTAATTGCATAAAAGAACATTATGAAAGATCAATGATTAGCCAGACTTTCCTGTTAAGATCCCTGCCTTTCTAAATACTAAGTATTTGTAATCTTTTCTTCCAAATATTTAGTCATCTTAATGGCAATGGCCTGTTGCTATTGCATGTGCTCTATTCTTTGTCTAGTGCAGCTTGTTCAATCTAGTTCAATCTRTTAAATTACTCTTTCTCCCAGACCCTCTTGTCTGTGTCCTCTTATCCTCAGAGTCTCATTAATAAACAGAAACACTTGTAGACAGAGTAATTTTGTGGATATGAAATCTGATGTTACTGCTCTTTTTTGTGGAATTACTTCCATCATTGTCATGATTAGACTTTAAATGAGGATATTATGAGTGAATGTGGCAAACTTGCAGAGTTAAGTTATGTTTAATCTAGATTTTTCTTTTTTTTGTGTGTGTGTATATTAACTGGCCATTGCTTACAGTATTGATATTTGAGGGGATTTTCTTCCATATCTAACCATGCAATTTCTGCCRTAGGTTACTTGCCGAACAGCATTCATGCTGTGGAAGCAATGCTGGCTGCTGCAAGTATTGGTGCTGTTTGGAGTTCGACGTCACCAGATTTTGGCATTAATGTAAGTAGTTTTGTCACTGTGTGCACTAGCAAAGCTGTTGTGATTCCGGCAATCCCGATGGTGACAAATGAGGGTGACAGAAGGACTTTGTTAGTCTTATTCTTCCTGCCACCTTGTGGCAGAGTTGAGTATTTTTTTTCTGRCAGGGAAAGGACATAGGCTGAGATTATTCACAATTGCCAAAGGACCTGAAAGCCTAATTGTCGTTGATCAAAATGAGTTTTTTGAAGCTCTTATAATGAGCAGTAGCAGATATAAATTTTAAAACACAGTACTGAGTCTATTTTTTCACCTAAATGTTCAGATGAAAACAYATGGAAAATGAACTGTTCTTGTAATGCTGAACACGAAGAAAATACTAACMTTATTAGGCGTTTTATGTCCTTCATGTTGATGCTTAGCCTTGATAGTTGGCTTAGTAAATAGAAGTGTTATCCCTGGATTAGCACTAGAGGGCAGCAGCATTCCATTTCCTTGTTTAAGATTGTATCATTTGAGGGAAAAAAGATTAAAAAARATCATTACGCCAGGTAATGATCAGTCTCTTCTTCAAATATTTTCTGCTTGCCCAGAAAATGGCAGTATGGAGTGCTTTCTTTGCAGTGTGATTTGATCTCTCCTCTGGAGGAAGATTGTTCTCTTTGCTTGTATTACAGAGTATGGGCTTGCTTTCTCTCCCTGTTGATGTACTGTTATTTTCAGTGCCTGGCTTTATTTAGTTTTTGTGATAGTTTTTTAATGAAACTTAGCCTTGGAGCAGCAGTGCCATCAATATCATTTATTCTCCTTTAGTTAACGTGCAGGTGTTGGCATGAATTCAACACCTGAAATTTTGAGGGAGATCAGCAGAAGTCTGCCAGGATATTGGCTTCCACCCCAAGGAATAGATTTTGCTCCTTTTGTGCGCTTGTGTTAGTGCTAAAATAAATGGATATTTCACATTCAGGTATTGGAAACAGTGTATTGTTTTCAGCGTTTAATTTCAAAGCTAATTGCATATAGATGCTTTGTGCAGTTTAGAAATGGCACTTTTCAGAGCTGCCTACACGTTGCAGCCTCTGAATACCGTACATCTAAAGGCTTTGCAAGTGCTCAGGAAGGCTGTTGTCAGAGAAGCAGTGAATTTCCCTCCCACGCAGAGTGCCACCGTTGGCAGCTTTTGCTTCAGTTTCTTTGGTCCTTCTTATCTGTGTAGGTATATTTGTGTAGAAAAYGGTTCTCTTCAGCTTTGCATAAGAGGCTGTTGGATACGTAAGTCTAAGAGGCTCTGCTGTTAGAACTATGAGAAACTTGATAAGGTCTAATAAAGTTAGTGCAGCTCTGTTCATAGGACCCCATACAATTTTTAGCACAGGTTTTGAGGTTCATCGTGTAGAATAAGCCATTTTGGATACACCTGAGCCTTTCATGGGAGAAATTCCTTGCTGAGCCATCCAGTTGGATTAAAGTTCCAGTGCAGCAATTAYAGGTTCCATCTGTTGGTATTCCCTTTGCATCACACCAAGCTGCCCTGTGGGACTGGATCCTGCCAGTGTTAATGCATCCAGCTGGGGGAGTTAGCAGGGTTGATAAGACCATGAGACCTGTAGTTGCCWCAGTTTCCAATTTTCACTTCCCATTTCCTTTCTTCTGTTAGGAAAAACCCTTAGTCATCTCCTTGGTCTACTTCTTTAGCATCAGGCAAATGGGCAAGGAGGGGTACGTTCAATGTTCAGCATGGATAGTGAAAAGGCTACAAAGAAATGAATATAATAAAGATAACCAGAAACATAGCTTCATGCTCAATACTTCTGGAATAGACTCCTGCAGCTGRTTAGCCCAGCATGGGAAGATGATGTTTAATAGTTCAGTTGATTATGATTTTTCTTGCATTGGTCTCAATTTGTCTATAATTAGACTCTCATTTCAGCTATGAAGTAGATGAACCAASATGCAGATAAGGATATGGGGTTTTAGGAAGAAAAAACACACGACTAAAGTCTAGTTTTGCAACATTATTAAGGAGGCCCTGTTCTTGAACAGTTGACAGTTTTACAATATTGAGTAATCTTCTGGTTCTTAATGTTTCAAGTAATACAACTAGAGAGGAATGAGCATAACTGAGAGCTTATATTAGGAGGATTTGGTTTTTGCTGTTGAATACAAAAAGATCTGTTACTAGAAGGCTTTGGCAAGCAGTGTACATGAAAAATAAAAAGTCACTAAACAAAATTGTCTAAAATGTTGTAATAGCTGTGGTAAGTGCCTAAAGCAGACTTAGCTGCAGAAGACACCTGAAAAATTAGTGTCTGAATGTGACTTGCCTCAAAATGCTAAAGGAACCTTGGCAGTCTTGCTGGTGGGGTGTGTAAGTGCTTGCGATATCTGGGCATGCAGGTAAAAATCAGTGGAACAGCTTGCTTTATCCTTGAAGAGCAAAGGTGTGAATTCATGTGAAGTGCCACCTTGCCATATATAAATACATCTTTTGGAAGTCTAATGTGTTTTTTCAAAATATTCATGAAAACTAACAAACTGTTAGTACCCTGAAGCAGCACTGGGGTCAGTTCACAAGGTGTATGGAGCACCTGTCTGAAGATACAAATAGGAGCCTTGGGAGCCTTCAGATAAGTTGTGCTTAACTCCTACTCACCTCAGAGGTAGTGTCTTCAGATGAATTTAAATATTTTTCAAGATGGTTTTTCTACATGCTTAGACACTTCTGTAGACTTTGTCCTTCAGTGAATGATGTTTTTTGTTGCTTTATGGTGATTTTGCCTTTATTATTGATTAATAAATGTGGGGGATCATGAAAAACAGTGCAAGAAACCTGTTGTGCCTTGAAGGACTTGTGTGAGCAAAAGACACAAGTAGGCAAGAAGTCTAACAGTTCTCCTGCTGACTTCTATCCTTGTTCCTTGCTTGAAACAAGATTTGCATTTTGGAACCAGTAGGTTTTCCTGTGCCAGCAATTCCTTTTTCAAGTTGCTTTTCTTGTTCATCCCTAGGGTGTACTGGACAGGTTTTCCCAAATCCAGCCTAAGCTGATYTTCTCCGTTGAAGCTGTTGTGTACAATGGCAAAGAACACAACCACTTGGAAAAACTGCTTAGTGTGGTAAAAGGTATTTCACTGCACGCCCTCTCACCTCAGCTGTGCTGTGCTCCAAGCTTGTCCTGTCACTGAGAGGAGTCCCACCTTTGCTTGCCCCTGTCCTCCATCCTTTACCCTACTCCTGTGGATTGGGATGCTGTCTAAAAAAGCAGAATTAGTTCGAGTAAAACCTAGCCAGTCTCTTGGTTAATTATAACAGTCTTCTGCTAGTTTAGTTAAATATATCAATGCCTGTAACAGCRTAAGTCAACGGGTGACAGAAGTGGGGGAACAAGGAATAGCACTACTTGAGCTTTTCTTAAAGTGAAGTGTTACTGAAAACTACAAGGGGATCATGCAGAACTAAAGCTTGTTGATTTAAGTATGTTTKTTTAATTAAAAGGCTGTCAATAATAAGGAAATCTTATTTAGGTAAAAATTCAGATTTTGGGGATCTCTTAATGTTTAAAAATATGTCCATTACTCAGTGTRTTACACTGTACAGTCTAGTCGGATAAGACCTTCACTTATATGAGTAGTAATTTTTTCTTTTTATTCTAGGACTGCCAGATTTAAAAAAAGTGGTGGTGATTCCATATGTCTCCTCAAGAGAAACTATAGATATTTCTAGGATTCCAAACAGGTATCTTTTCTATAAAAACAATCTAAGAATTAATTTCCCCTGGGTACAAATCTCAACAGGTGTCTGAAATGATCATCCCTCTTCCTTTTGAAGACAGTGTCTTGAAGACGGAATGTGTCATGAGATGACAGAGTCCAGAAGAAAATCAGTCTGGAGTGTTCCTTTTCTTCTCCTTTGCTTCTCTGTTATTTTGAAAACCTTTCCCTTGCTAATAACCTTGGAGGGAGTGCAACAGTTGCATGGTCACCWGGCACAAGGTGACCAGGTTTGAATTAAAGTGTGTTTTTTGTGCAGCAGAATTTGGTTGGACAGCAGTGCTGTCTCCTCCTGTGCCATCTCCAGCTGCTCTGATCAGCAGAAGCCTTTTTAGTGGTGTTACAGCATGGCAAGAAGAGCTGTGCGAAGTCTTTCCAGGAAAAAGGCATTTCTAGCYTCTTTTGTTGACAAAAGTGAAGCAGCTGTTGGTACAAATATAGGTGCAAGAGCATCTGTTGTAGGGAGAGTGCTTGGTTTAGTATTAAAACTAAAATTGTTTTAAATAAACACTCTTCACAGCAGAGCTGCATCTATTGTGGAACCACTAGAGCAGTGCGAAGAGTTTGGATTTAATTAAGAGATTGCTCTATACTATGGCTGAGATATAGGCAARGTCAGTGCTTTGTTGTCACAATAAATTGGGCACAGCTGTTGAGTTGGATTTATTGATCATCTCTAATAAAACGTTTGCTCTTTGAAATACTCTTATCAGGGATGATATTTTTATGAATTCAATAGCATGCAATGGGGAGAAGAAAAGGGCCTTCAGAACTGAGCAATGAATAATTTAAACAGTTTTAGCAGTAATTTGTCTAATTTACTGTTGTGGAATAGCTCAATTGAGTAAATTTTAGAAAGCGGTTGTGTTCCAGGATCAAGGAGTAAGGTGGTTCCTCCAAAATCAACTCTGTTAAAATTGATTTTACTGCAACACTCTTTTCAGGTGTACCAAGGGACATGGCAATTCAGCTGTTCCCTGAGTTTGTTGGAATATCTWCTGGTTGAAGAGCAGGGACAGCTTTTGCCATGCTGCTTTGGCAATTGCTGTCTATAATACAGCAGGGGAAGTTGGCCTGTAGCCCTTAAAGACATGGTCCTGCATTCCAAAGTTCCTCAGGTCTGTACAGGCATTTTTTTCGTCTAGTGATGGGACAAAGTGGATCTTTGCAGTAGGAAAAAGTAACTGAGATGATCCTGCTGCTGGGTCTGAGCTCTGCTCATTTAAAGCACACTCTGGTATCTCCTTTTTGCATTCCTGTGATTGCCCTCAGAGCTTGGGTGCTTTGGTGTATGGTATTTGCAGGGACAGAATCAGTTGAGGTTTGCCATCGTGCCCAAGCTAAAAAGGCCTTGAGGAATCAGACACAGCACAGAAATACTTGGCTTGTTCCAAGCAAGCTTCAATTGATGCTGAGCCTGAGCTTATAAGCTCTTCTGGATCTGATTTCTAGACTTTGTATCATCTGCAACTGTTTTGATTCTGGGAGCAGAGTGTAGAGACATCCACGCTGGCTCTCTGCCCAGTCAGCTTGGTCTTTGGATCTGAGTTTGCTTTAAGATGTATATCCTTGTCTGTATGGCACTGTACCTTCACTAGTAAACCTTGTGCAATGGATTTTTCTCCCCATTTGTGGCCTGATTTGTAAGCAAGCAGCATAAGCCACCTGTGCTTAGGAGGCCTATATATTGTATAGTTCTGTCCAAAAGCAAAACAGTGTCATTCTGCCCCTCTGGTCAAGCTGTGAAGGGTAGCAGCTGACTACAGGTGCAGATTTACAGCCTTGCTTTTGTTGTGTTACAATTTAAGTTACACCAATGTTTTGTTTTTAAAATAGAAACAGGAAACAATTTAGTGATTTAAATAAAGAGCAAAAGTAGTGTAAGAGTAAAACTAATATTGAGTATGTAGTACCTTGTTAGACACCTGTTACATATGGAAATGATCTTGTATATGGCGTGGGGTAATGCTTTCAAACAAAACTGAAATGTTCCTTTTCCCTCCCTTATGCAGTGTCTTTTTAGAAGATTTCCTTGCTACTGGGAAAGGAGACCAGGCCCCCCAGCTGGAGTTTGAACAGCTGCCTTTTAGCCATCCTCTCTTCATCATGTATTCCTCAGGCACAACAGGGGCACCGAAATGCATGGTCCATTCAGCAGGGGTATGTCCTTCCTCCTGCAGCTATACTGTCCTTTTTTTATAACTACCTGCTTTTTTTCCTCCTTTAACGGTATTTAGTATCATAATGTAATTGGTAAGGAAGAACAGGTTGCTGAGAAGTTTTCGCTAACTTGAAACCTCTGTTTTCTAGGTGAGTGCTTGAAGGCAAATATAGGTTAATAAGGATATAAACTATCTTGGAGGTCCGTCAAACTCCAGCAGTTCCCTGGGGACAGATGTCTGGCATAAAGGCGTAACTGAGAATTGTGTCAGAAAAGCAAAAAAAAAAAAAAAAAAAAGATTCCACTGATTTTTGGAGGCTTTCTGATTGAGATCTATTGGCAAGGAGCTCTGACAAGGATTACACTCTTTATCTGCAATATCTCTATGACTGAAGTGCTTCACCTCTCAGGGTTGTCAGTTCAGAGCATGATGTTGCCTTTAGCAATCACTCTTTAAAGAAGGCTAGCAAGGTCTTTTGGGTGTAAGTTTTGCTTTGACGGATGTTTGTTTTAGGCTGTGTCTTGTTTTGATGAAAGATACAAAGAAAATTAGTCAAATGTGCTCACATGCTTTTCACTTACTATTCTAAAGTTCTACGCAAGTTGTTAAGCTTGGGTAATGACTACATCACTCAGGTTTAGCATTCAAACTTGGTTTTGATTGTTACTTTTATTTCCGTCATAACCTAAATAAGAGTGTTCTCATTGGTTTCAACAGAAGCAGAATTTGCCAGTGGTCTTTGTTTTACTTTTTTTCTAGCCTAGAATTCATTGAAGTTGTTTTGATAGTTAACACAAGGAAAATAAGTGGCATTGCCGTGAAAACTTGAAATTATTGCCTGCTTGCTCTACATTTTAATATTGCTTTTTTTGTACTGATCTTATTGATGTTAATATGCAGTTTATGTTAGATTTATAACTCAATTGCCTTCTGCAATATGTTTCTAGTCCATTTTCTCTGCACATACTCTGTTCTCTTGTGGCACATAGTGAGAGTAACATGTAAATAATGAAAATGAAGACTGATCACTGAAGATGTAACAAGCAGAACCTCAGAGGGAGCAATGCTTCTGGTTTTGGAAACGAATCTATTGTATTGAAGAATTGGTTGTGCTAAAGAAATGCATTTGGAGGGTTCTTTAATTCTCCAAAGATTAGCAAATAGTTACTCTTGCTATGTTATAAGAACGTGTCCAAATTTCCCCCTTTATCTCAGTCCTGTGGGCCCCTTTTCACATTCATTTTGTAGCTTTCAGATTCACCACTGTCTAAAGAGATGATCAGTTCACTTCTGTGTATCTTAAGGACTCCTAAGGCCTGGCTTCAGATAGTTGCCACAGGCTTTTTACACAGTAGCAGGCAAATTACTAAGCCTGAATATGCCTTAGTTTYCTGTCAGGCTGTGGTATTTCTGCCTTTCCAGAGTATGTATTACATATTCCTTCTAGTTCCTCAGGCCTGAATTCCTTTGTCCAGTGCAACCTGGCTTCCCTGCTCTCATGCAACATGCCTTTGCCCCATCCTGGTGGCTTTGTGGCTCCTGAGTGTGAAGTTCCCTGCTCTGCTGAAGATCAGGCTCTGCTGCTGCTTTGAATGTCGTGGGAGGGCTCTGMAGCTCGACTGTTTATCCCCAGCACCTCTCCCTCCAGGCTGCCACCCTCTGCTCATTCTCCTGAGGATTTTTCATCCCAACCTTTCTGGATGTCGTGCAGAGAGTGTAGGTGGTTCAGGAGCAGGACCTGCAGCCCTGAGTTACTGCTGTCTCTGAGCTATTGAAGCACTTAGCACAGCTCTGCTCCATGTTGGCAGAGACCACAGCAGCACCTAATGATTGTTAGTTTTGATGCTCCCTGTGCTCAGCACTATCAGCCACACCTGAAGCTCAGCAAAAAGAAATAGGCCAAGAAGTTCCTTTATCAGCTGGCAGGCCTGTGCCATGGAATGCTAAATGCTTAGGATTTATCCTGAGGGTCAAATGAGACTTATAAATAAACTTGAGAGCATCTTAGGCTCTAAGCTCTTTAGAATGGCTATGACTTCTACCATAGCACTTTGCAGGTGGAAATAATAGCAGGATTTGGGGGGATAGTTCATAGTCTCTACCAAAATCCACTGTTAACTTTTTTCCCCAACTATGGAATAATAACAATTAAGTGGAGAAGCCAATGCTTACTTTAGTTAAATTAGACTTTTAAAACACAGCCTCTCTGTTCTGTGACTCCTTGAAGATTCTCCTGCAGAGGCAAAGTGCTTGCTTTTGTATGTAGAAAAATTGCTAAATACATGCAGTTCTTCTGGCAACACCTGAGATTGTTAGACATAATGTTTTTAAATCTGGATTTAAAAATGCAGAATGTAGCTAGATGGCAGCATTGCAACAGCTTAGTGTACTCCAACAGTAGCAGGTAAAATCAGACCTAGTTCCTTTGAATTTCAAAGAAAAAAATAATRTATTCCTTTATGTTTGTTTATTTTTTCCTTTTTTCCCAAAGCATTCAGCAGTTTTATGACTTTCCTTTTTCATTTCAAATGTGTATCTGTAATCTGCTTGTTTTCCACRTAATTTGTTTCATGTTTGTGAGGGTCTTAACCATTCCTCACGTAAATGCAAAACATCTTTAAATCAGMAGTATTAGTTTGTCATTCAGTGAAGTAACTTAGTGAAGCAGCAATACTAGTTTTCAGAAGTCTTAATGTGCTGTCAGAACTTTTCATGTATGTGAACTTATGCTTTTCTTTCACTTTTTATTTTTTTCAGGGTACTTTAATACAGCACCTRAAGGAACACATTCTTCATGGCAACATGACCAGCAGTGACATTATTATGTACTACACAACGGCAAGTGTGGCTTTGAGACGCTTGTAAAAACTCTTCAATACTATTTATCTTGGAAAGATTGAGAGCATTTTCACAAAGCTAAAAATGTTTTTTATGTATTTCTAATGTTTTTAAAATCTCATCAAATTTTACCTTTCTGCATCAAGCAAGGCTTGATCACACTGAAGATGAGATTTTCTTTTATGTCTTGATGGAGAAGAAAAGCCATGCATATCTAGGAGCTGAGTAAAGGAAAAGGAAGAAATGTTATTGATCTTTGTAGGGATTCAATATMTTTATTCTAGTGTGGTAAAGAATGTGATTCTGCAGCAGTTTATTACTGTAACGGTCTGAGAAGGCTGTTCCTTTCTCATGAGCTCCTTTYTGAACTTACCACAACCTGACTAGTAGTGTTATCTTCTCAAAAGATTCATAATTACCTTGCTCCAGTTGTGTGTTATATTTTGACTTATGATTTAAAGATATATCTGTAGAGAGGTTTGGAATCCCCATCTCACAAGATGCTTTCAAAGGTGTGTAGCAGATTCAGCCTTGACCCAGGTGAAAGGATTTAAAGTGATCTGGGCCTTATTTTCTTAATTCCTAAATRAGTAGTGGTCATCAGTACGAATAGCTATAAACTCAGGGGTTGATTTAACAGTTTCTTAAAGCAGGAAAAGTTTTGGGCAAGGAAGGTAGGGGAAAAAGGGCACCTTTTGCATGTGGACAGGGAGGAGGTGATTCTGCTGAAGGGCATGGCTGTCCATCATATTGTCTAGTTGCCTGTGACTCTCCTACCACCGTTTGACAGCRATATTCCTGGTCCTGTGATGGAGCTGCCAGCAAAGCTGACAGGTGGCTGACAAAGATAGAAACTAATGTAGGTATTTTCTCTTTCCTAGACTGGCTGGATGATGTGGAATTGGTTAGTGACTGCACTTGCTACAGGAGCCTCCGTGGTTTTATATGATGGATCTCCTCTAGTTCCATCGCCCAATGTGCTCTGGGACTTGATTGACAGACTAGGGTATGTAAACGACATTAAGTGGAATAATGGTCTTTGCTGCTGTTACAGTGACCACATGCAACCTCATTAAAGATGTTGCTCCTGTGGTCAGAAACTAGTTTGTGGCATGACAGTTTCTTTTGGCTTAACTTTAAGCACACTGCTTTTTAAATTTTGTGATAAAACAACTTTTGAGAGAGAGCAGGAGAGACAAAGAGCCAATTGTTTCAAAATTGGTTCAAGCTTTTGGATTCCAAGCATACAAAGAATTTTGGTTCAATAGTCAGTTTTCAAGAGCAGCCTTTTCAAAAGGCTGTAATTGGGAGTGATCTGAAGAATAATTTCTCAGTGCACTCAGAACTTGAAAAATAAGAATGCTTCATTTCAAATGGCTCAGTCTAGCACTGAATATAGCACTTTGATTTAAAAGACATGAATTGACTGGAAATGCTCAGCAGGGTTTTTCTGTATTTTCATATTTTGCTCTATAATCTATAATGCCTAATTCTCTCTGCTAAGCCATTCATTGTCTTATGTAGTTCTTTGAACAATGTTCACAGTGCCCTCTCTCAAAACCTAGAGAAATAGCAGCCATCACATAAATAACTGTGAAATCCTGTAGTGGCATTTTATTACTTAGTATATAGGATTAACTTTGATTTTTGTAATTTCTCCAATTTCCTGACTGGATATGAGGGGGGAAAAAACTGATTTTGCTCAAAGATGAGTATAGTTTTTTTAATTCCTTGATAATTAAAATGTATTCATTTGTGGTGGAAAGCAGGTGCCAAAAGATTCACTTTTTGACTCTTGCTAATTAATTAAAGCTTCATTTTTTTTTTGTGCTGTGTAGTGCTGACATGTCAGCTTTGGCTATTATGATTGAAAGCCAATGCTTATTCAGAATGCTGTCACTAAAAGGGAAAAAAGACTTTAAAAAAAAAAAGCCCCCAGGCAAAAATTTGGAACCAAGAAATAAGACAGCATATTTTTAAGCATTGTTTCTACATGCCAAAAGTAAGTGAAGATAACTCGAATGTGTCTGCATGTCGCACTTTTGTAATCTGGTGCTAAAAGGGGTGGCCATCTGTGTGGTACTTCATAATGCAGTCTGTTCCCAACTCAGTCGTATGTTACATTTAAAAAAAAAAAAAAGAGCTTCAGTGTGTTTGGATACCTTAGTTGTTCACATATCCTAGGCCTTCCCCTGGATATCAGGTTTGCACAGTGTCGTCGGGATAATCTCATGCTGAAGGACAGTCTTTACTCAGGTAGTGTTAAGATCCAGTGCAAATGAACTGTATTTAGCCACTGCCCAACAGTTATCCCAGGGCTAYGCGGCGTTTGGTAGGAGATGATAGGAGACTGTATCTTCTACATGTGTTGTAGAGGAAGTGTCAAAGAGTTTAAAAATAAKCAGAGAAGCATTGATGAATATTCCATCTATAAAATCAGCAATAATCTGGAGCWTCGAAGGCAAGTAAAATATWATRCCAAGATAAATATAGCTCATATGTTTGTGGTGCATAACTGAAGGAGCGTTTTGCTTTTGTGGGCTCTCACTGGGCTTTTCTCATGTGCCAGATAAAATTGCTTTATGCACAGATGTGTTTGTGCAACTAGACTGTCCCTGGCTTTACCCAAGGGTGACAGCCTCTGAAGTAACTGTCATCCACCTAAATGGACAGGGAAAACACCATATATTGATATTTTTCAAATACTGTTTCCTTTTCTGACAGAGTATTACTATATCAAGCTAGTCTACCTTCAGTCATGTTTTTGGACTAAAAGTAAAGCTACCAGGATCTTGTTTTGTCACATTTTTTGCACTCACTGCTTGTGTTTTGTGCACTCAAGCTCTTTTGTTTTTATCTACTTTTTTAAATGACTGTATTGCACTAATATGAAATGAATTAGCAGAGAAGAATAAGATTTTTTTCAAAGAATTTTTTGAGCATTTTCTTGGAACAGTGTCTAGCAGTGGGAAAGGGACGCTTCCTAGTTGTGTTTTCTGTGTAGGATTAAGATCTATTTATATATTTAGATCTGTGTATCTAAAAACATTAGAGAGGCACACTTGGCTTAATTAGGGGTCATAGGAATACTCATGTTTGTAGCAAGTAGAATAGGGCCTAAGATACAGAATTACCAAAAGAATTTTCTTTCAGTTGGAAAGCCAGGCTTGCAGTCCCGTGTTCAACAGCAAGTTTGTTTGCCTTGTGCAATCCCAMGGAAACAGCCCACGAGGTCTCTGGATCTTCCAGGATGGGGGCATCTTGCCTTTGAGTAGCTTGTAACAGCACAGTTRCGTAGTGCTCACTAGGCTGCTAATATCCAAATTATTCGCCACCCTGTTTTGCTGGGAACCAAAATAAAAAGTCATGTTCCTAATTTCTCAAATGGGAGAAATAGACAACATTCTCTGAGTTGTGTTTTATTTATTACGCTAGTTGAAATATTCATTTCACACTGTGCCTTCAGTGTTTGTGTGAGTGCCCTATATAATAGTTTTTTCTGGGGCTCACAGCATTGTCATAAAGACCTGTGATGTGTAACTGGGAGCCAGAATGGTCTGCTCAGTTTTAATGATGCTAACCGTGGTGTCTCAACATTAACTCRTGGAGTGACTGCGGTAATATAAAATCACAGTATTTTAATGAGCAGCCAAATTGGGACTTTCATTGAATCTTCTCGCCATGCCAGAATTCAGTGTGCAGCCATGTATTAAATACTTGCTCTGGATGTGCTCTTTGCAGGGTCAGTAGTCATTTTTTCAGTTAGCTGGGCCAAATTCCATGTTCAGTTAGGCATCTGCAGCTCAWATTTGCAGCAAGGGAAACTGAATATATGTCTTAGAAAATCATTGGATGCTGTCTTCAGAACAAATTATTCATTTTTTACACATGTTCTGAAATGGTATAATTTTGATATGTGAGTGTGACACAGCAGCAGTTCTGTGTTAAACAGCTCAGCGGCAATTATGACCAATTAATCAAGTAAATGTTATAACATTCTGTGATGTCTTTGGAGTGTTCTGCAGTTATATTTCTGTAAATGAAAATGAATGTTTTGTACGAGGTGGGAAAGCTTTGCTTAATATTTAAAGGTAGAATTAAATGTTTCAAAGCTTCAGAAACGTGTGATTTGACTAACTTTGACTGCTGCAAAGGAATTTGCCTTGCACATAAAAAGCTTTAGGATGAAGTACTTCTTGACTAATCAATGTTGAAGTGCCTACAGCTTCTGCTTTCTGCAGTGGGAGTTGCAGGTCTTCAGAATCTTAACGGATTTAAAATTGCAAAATATTTTAACTTTTTTCCTTTTAGGATCACCATCCTTGGAACAGGGGCAAAGTGGCTGGCTGTACTAGAGGAGAAAAATTTAAAACCAGGTAAGCTCCAAAAAGCTATTCAGTCCTCTTTACCTTCCCCTTGTCTTTCCTCTTGGATTTTAGCTCTATATCTTGATCACAAGTAATAAGTTGAATGCTCTATGCATTTTTTTGCATTGTGGTGATGAATAGTTATAAAATCTGATAGAAAAAACTATTCTTAACCCTTTTCATTGATGCCTTCCTTTAAGGTGAAACACACAATCTTCAGACACTCCACACTATACTGTCTACAGGCTCACCCCTCAAGTCTCAAAGCTACGAGTATGTCTACAAACACATAAAAAGCAGCGTCCTACTGGGATCCATTTCAGGTGATGCTTTTGTGCTACAAGTCTCTTACTAATTTGCTCCTGGCCTGTGCATTTTCTTCTTGTTTGCTACTGTGTGGTGGTGTTAGGGATCCTAGGCTTGCATCACTAATGCTTGGTTAGAGTTAAACTAGAATTAATTGTCTCTTTTGAGTATACTGTAATGAAGCCTGTGCACTTGAAGGCTTTTAGGTGGAATGTTTCTGACAGTAAATGTTTGGGGCGGGAGGTTTAAGTAGTTTCATTTATTTTGACTGGCTGTCCTTAGGGATGGCAAAGTGAAATCAGAGAAAGTCTATTAGCCTGCAGAACAGACCATTCTACAAATAGCTGACTTCGACAAGAAATACCTCTTGGAGAGGTTTTTCCATGTTCCCATTTCGGTTCTTTTGTGGCAAGTAATTGTCACTGCAGACAGATTTTTTGTAAATTATGTAATTAGAGAAGTATCAAGCCCACATGCTGTGCAGTTTGTGAGGAGTGCTAACCAAGGCAGCTTCTATTCATGTAAGGTCCCCATTGAACTCCTCATTCTGCTCTGCAGTGTGGATTAATTTTTCAAAGAACTTTTTAACTTGGTCTGATTTAGAAGCTGCCTGTTCTGCTACTGAAATCATCCCTGGCTCTGGTTATAGTGAGAATAGTGCTAAATCTTAGATTTTTTTTTTACTGCAGATACAAATAGTCTCCAATGTGGAGGAATATTGTTATAAGTAAAGCTAAAAGAATTGGTCTTGTTTCTTGTTCTGCTTTTTCAAAATGATATCACTGGGCGAATGAGAACGAGAAATGCAAACTAAGTGAATAACTGGGCTAGTTTAATGAAAACCCTCATCTGTAATATCACTTGCAATTGATCTCATATATATATCTGTAAGCCAGGGCCTGTTTATTTTCACACTTCTGAGTAAACTAAGATTTCCTTAAATATAAAGATATGTATAGATATAAAGCTACTGAAAGAAAAGCCAAACCTTAAGGAGTCTGTACAGAGGGTGTACATCTCTATAAAGACACACATATGTAGAGCCAGGAATGAAACCACTCTCATTACAAGTTATACAACATCTTAGATAATACTGAGTRTATATTCTGTGCTGTTTAATATGGATTGGATGCATTTGTCAAATGTGCCAGTCTGCTGTTCCAGATTCTCACATAATTTTCCATTTTAATTTTCAGAAGAGCACTGTGTTCTAAATGGGCTTCCTTTATTGCAGGTGGAACAGATATAATTTCATGTTTTATGGGTCAGAATGTTACAATTCCAGTTTACAAAGGAGAAATTCAGGCCAGAAATCTTGGAATGGCTGTAGAAGCATGGAATGATGAAGGTAATTGTTTTATACGTTTAAGTAATGATTTAAATGCAATGGTTGTCTGCATAGGGGATGTAACTTGAAGTTTCACTCATAAGCTTGCTAATATAAAGGAGTGGCTTTACTATGAGAATGTGTTCCACAACACCTGAATTTGGATCCATTTGATCCACAGTGTGCAGGACTCCAATGAAAATAACTACTGTGTAAAAAAAGCCCTGCTCTTCCCTTCCTCTGAAAGAACTTTAGGGGCCAAATTGTAGCCTCTGGTTTGTGTGCTGATCAACTCTATTGCTGTGGATGCCRGGCTGGCTTCATCCAGTGATGCAACTCTCCTGAAATTACTGGCATTAAGATAGAGATGAGTTTAGTAATTCAACATGAGCTTTTAAGACCATTGCTCTCATTTCATATCTGTACATAGCATCTTCCATGTGTGTATTAACTACAGATGCTCTTTGCTTTACTATGCTACTGTTTACAGCAGCAAAAATGCAGGAATTACCTCTTCCTTTGTCAACAGGCAAACCAGTTTGGGGTGAAAGTGGAGAGCTGGTTTGTACAAAGCCAATTCCTTGTCAACCTACGCATTTCTGGAATGATGAGAATGGAAGCAAATACAGGAAAGCCTATTTTTCAAAATTCCCAGGTATGTAATGACAGCTTTTGGACAGTGCTTGAACTAACTAAGAATGTAAATTGCCGTGCTGCTTTTAGCAAGGTGCAGGTTTGTTTATGCCCACCAATAGCCACCTTGTACCTAGATTTTTAGGGTTGAAAACTTCAAGGCGTGTTTGACAGGTAACTCTCTTTTCCAGTGTTGAATTTGTGTTGAATTTGGGTCCAGATCAGTTTAATAAGAATCCCTAGCAAGCTCCAATCCTGTTTTGCTCCTGTTCTCCTTGGACAGACAAGGTTAGCGTGGGTTKAAACGTGTGCCCTGTCAGCAGGGCACATTCTGCATTTGCCCAGTCTCCCAGTGCTGTTAGGAGTACAGGAACTGAGCCCCTGAGGACTGGAGATTTTCTTCCTCCTTGCTGTGTAAGACTCTGCCTATCCAGAGCCTTGGCTCGTGTGGCACAGCAGGCAGGGCCTTGCAGGAGCAAGACCTCCAGTTGTCTCTTTTGGGGATTGGAGATATTGTTATAAATAGCAGCAAAATATTAGACTCACAGGAGAAATGGGATGTACAGCAGGAGCTGGTAGGCACACAGGGAAAATGAGGAGTTTGATTTAAATGTTTCAAGTGATTCCTCCTGCTACAGATTGTAGTAGAAATAAAATAGTAAAGGCTTTTTTAATGTCTCGTTCCTTGACCCCTATCTTTCTAAGCAGTTAAAATAGTTCTAACACATAATTTTAGCAAGTGTTCTGTCCAATTGTTTATACTTCTCTGTGGCTATTTCTTTTCAAGGGGAAAGAATTTGATGTCAAAATGCATGCYGAAGATCACTTAAATCTGTGATTCTAATACCAGTTTATCTCTTTCTGATCTGGCTTGCTTTACCAGCTGAGTTAAGATTCTGATATCAGGAGGAACCTTGATACATTTMAAAATAATGTTTTTTTGACAGTTTTTCACAAATCAACATAGAGTATTTTGACCCACAAATGTTGTAAGATTGCATAGGAAGCAGTGTGCACCGTCTCGCTGCGGTAGCAGTTTCCAGCACACAGATGCAGGAGCACTTTGCAAGCTTGTGGTGTAGAATGAAGCTTTACATCAATTTCCTCTTTGCTGGGTATTGTCAGTTGCAGTCCATGTTCTCTAAGTGGCYATCAAAGCTACAGGGGTCTTCAAAGAACAGAAAGAAATCATCACATCCGTGGGGAAGCTGCAGTCTGCACCTGAGCCTGGCAGCAATAGCTCTAGAAGGGAAGAAATCATTGTGACAATTGTGAGACTGGGAGCTTTGTGGATGGAGAGTCTGCTAGAAACTCCTTTTTTTCTCCTTCTATTAAATGAGTGTGAAGTTGTTAACAGCTCAGATGAGGARCGGTGTTATGTGCACATGCACCTAAGTAACTGAGAGCTACTTTATTTAGGAAAATGCAAGTAGAAGTGGCTTGTAGCATACTACTGTGGTGGTCTCAATCTTTAAAAAAGAAATTATGCCAACTCTGAAGAGTCAAGTCTGATTTTACATTAATACAAATCAAGAACAATGCCAGCAAGCACGTAAATTCTCTAGGAACTGCTCAACTGAAACTTGCTGTGCAAACCCAGAAGTTGCTGCTTTTCCAGAACTACATTGTAACAGTGTAGGAAAGACTRGAGTACTTTTACCTGAGTGTAAAACTTCCTGCTCCACCAAAATAGTTCATTCTCCTCCTGTATCTATGCCAGCTATGCGTAATACGTGGCATGGACTGTTTGCACAGTGAAGCAAGGACCACTTCATTTGCTCTGGGTAGTTTTCAAGGGTAGCTCATGTGTTTGTGTCTTTGTATGTAGTCTACAGCAAAATAAACTAAGTTAGGAGAGTTAGACAAATGTCTGTTGTAACTGAAGGAATAAATCATCTGCTTAACCTTGTCACTTTCTACTAGGTGTTTGGGCCCATGGTGATTACTGCAAAATTAATCCCAAGACAGGAGGAATTGTCATGCTGGGTCGCAGGTATAGTATTTTGGCGAAAGTGTTCAGAGTAAACAGGTGCCAAGGTTTGCAGTCTTGGCTTTGGAACAACATGTAGRTGATTCTCCATCTTAGTGTGATATTCATTTTGGTAAATTCAGTTTTGATGTGAATTTCAACCCCTTAAGTTGATCAGAGCAACTGAGTTCGAGAGAAGGCCATGCATGTCAAAGCTGTACCCCAGTTCTGCATGTGTGACCCAAGACAGCCTTGTACTTGATTTTGTTTTACATGGTTTGTAGTGAAGGATCATCTATTAGAAACAGAGGGGTCATAAAGCCCAGCCTACGTGGAAGATCAGGGCACTGGTTTTTTGCTCTTGGCTTTTTCATTGATTTGCTTTAGAGCACAGCAACTTATTTACAGAGGGCAGGTATTAGCTTGTGCTTCTCAAAAAGATCRTAGAAATTCAAGATCACATCTGGGGCTAAAACTTATGCTTGCATTTACAAGCTGCCCTTCCAACCCAAGTTGAGCGAGCGTCTTAGCTGTGACTGGCAATGTCACAAACCGACCTCCTCGACAGAGAGACTTCTGGTGGGAGGCTGCTCTTTGAGACCGCTTCCAGCCATGAGACTGGGAAGTTATTGCACACAACAGTAGTTTGGAGAGGTCCTGGGGAGTCTTGGCTCATATGTGTGTYTGTGGACTTAAATGAGATACACGACTGGACCCATCCGGGGCTGTTGCAAGAGGCAGGGGTAGGAAGGGTGAAAGAATGATGTTAAGGTTCTTTGTAAAACTTAATTCTACTGAGCAAAAGGGCATTTGAACTCAATTTATTTTAAAATTTCTCATGTGGCTGCCTGTGTATTCACTGCATGAAATATTAAGAGACTTGTTTAATTGCATCATTTTTTTCTTTTCATCAAACTCTAATTACATTTTAATGCTTCCTTTTGTTTGTGTGCAATTTTCAGTGATGGTACATTAAATCCAAATGGAGTAAGATTCGGAAGTTCGGAAATCTATAACATAGGTATGAAATTAACTTTCCATCTCTTTCAACTATGACATTGTAGCCATAAATGTGAAATGTAAGGATTGTGAAGGTGGCTGGAAGGATTAAGTAATGAAGGACTTGAATTTTATTTGGAAAATTGCATTGAAGAGTGTGTTAGTGTTAATAGTAAAATTCTGTTTTGTAGACTTGAAATGGGTTGCCTTCCTGCAACATCTGTGGGACTGGAGATAACCAGCTGAGATGTGTTGGGTTAGATTTTGCTTTAAGCAGAAAGATCTTGCAACTTATTTCATGCAGCTTTGCAAGAGCAGGCCTGACTGCTCAGGCTTTTCTTTCCCAAGACAAGCTCTTGACACTGTTTTTCTGTGTCATTGCTGATGAATATAATTTACGTGGCTCTGACTTAATCTGTGAACAGGGGGATTGCCCGTGGAGCCACGAGGAGGGTGGATGGGTTAGACTGCACTGCTGTAGCCTTTTGAATTGAAATATTGTTCCCCTGGGAACAGCATCTGCTGTGTGCTGCTTGGGTTGCCTCCCTCGTGTGTGGCAGAAAAACTGTTTGAGTGTTTGTGGCGGCTGCCCTGGGTCACGCTTCACTTCTGTGCTTARCTTGGCGTGGGGAGGAACAGTTTCTTTAGTGTTGGAACACACACAAAGGCCTGAAGTTAAACTGGTAAAACTGCATCTGGTTCTGGCTCCCTGGTTTTAATGGCATTTTACAGCAGAAATGGAAGTTTCAACGGGGACTAGTTTGAATGCTTAGAATTTAAGTCAAGTTCAGCCTTCATGAGATGGAGCTGCACAGCGCTTCTCAGCTCAGAAGCTCTGTCCTAGCAGTAAAGGCTGTGAACCTGTGTGCAGAGGTGCCAAGGTGGGATGCAGGCACCAGTTGGAACTTGTTATTCTGTGATGAGACGTTTTATTTTTCTGTCTATGCAGCAATGGGAATAATGCCCTGGCCTTRCCTCAGTGGCTTACAAGAAAAGCCAGAGAAAATGGTTTGTGTGAAAGTAAATTTTGAATGTCCTAAGCCAAAATATATCCAGTCTTAAACCTGGATTTTCACTTGAGTTAGAATTTTAGAGCTTTTCAGAGCACCCAGAGGAAGCTCCTTGAATAGGTGGTCAGCATGTCCTCCTTTCCCCTTGCCTCTAGGGAATGTGACTTACTTCCTTTGGAGCAATTACCAAAAGGAGCRTCCAGCACAAAACACAAATGCATATGACCAAAACCATGCTTTTTTCCCCCCTTTTCCTCCAGTGGAAGCCTTTGAGGAGGTTTCCGATAGCCTCTGTGTCCCGCAGTACAACAAAGATGGGGAGGAAAGAGTGATACTCTTCCTGAAGATGGCCTTAAACTACACGTTCAGTGAGGACCTGGTGAAGAGGCTTCGAGATGCGATACGTCGAGCGCTTTCTGCTAGACACGTCCCCAGCCTCATCCTAGAAACCAAAGGCATTCCGGTATGTCATGGAAAATGCTGCCTACTTTTTTTTCCCTTTGTCACCTTGAATAGTAATTAAGGAGCAGTTGTCATTGCTCTTCAAACCCACATGCGTGGAAATTTTAGCATCTCAAAAGTGTATTTGAGCTTTATAAATAGTTTGTGTTGCCTAGCAACTTCATTTCTTCTCCTTTTCAGCTAAGTATGTTTGTTGTTTTTTAACAATACCTAAAAATGTCCATTGTCAGGTTATAAATACACATGGGTTAAGTATATATTCCTGAGAATTCACAAGTCTTTTAAAGAAAAATATTAAAAAGGTAATTTAACTTTGGCTTTTCAGCAAGCTTATTTTGTTTTTGTTTTTAGATTACATGCTTGTGAAAGCTGAGAGCACTCAGCAAGTGTATAAAATTTCATAAACCATTTCCCTTCTGTGGCTATTTATCCCTTTAAATGTAGCTCTGTCACTGTCTTAGCAATAACTGCAATAAAGTGCTTGTGCAGGTGAGAGGGGGAGAGGTCCACACAGGTCTGGGTGCTTGGAKTGTGGAGCTGCTGTGTAGGTGCTCGGCAGTGCTTGGTCTTACCCTGTGACCTCTGAGTCGAGGTGCCTGTTTGTGGCTCCTCTCATGCTAGACCTTCTTCAGCAACTCCGAACCCCTTATTCCCTGTGGAATAGGGTGGCTCCTCTCATGCTCGACCTTCCTCAGCAGCTCCAAACCCCTTATTCCCTGTGGAAYAGGGTGCAGAGGAGTTCCTTGTATGCAGTCACACGTGAACTTGGATGCTTCCACAGAAACTGCTTGAGAGTGCAGAGCAAATGCTTGATGTTCACACCTATTTACTTCCCAGTGTGTGCTTCTGTGTGAAAACGGCCTAGTGTTCAAGCCTACCAAACATGTTTGGTTCTGCCAGCTTCCTCGGTAGGGCACATGGAGATAGGATTCTGTCTGTGGAGCTGCTGCTCTTCCGTGATGTGTTGGGAAAGAGTAGTAGGCTCAGCATATATAACGTGAGTGTGCGAACCCCCTCAGCCTTTTAAATGGTGGTGCCTGCATCTTCTAGACTGCAGCTGAGCTTCAGAGTGGAACGCTGAACTTGTAAAATGCTCAGATCACCTGCGTGTAGAGAATGGAGTTGATGGCAGTGAGGTGTTTATGACAGTCCGCCCCTCAGGAATGCCTGCTTAGATCATTAATTAGTTCACATTTTGACTGAATTTACAATTGAGTGAATTTTAATTACATTTCAGGTAAAATATGCCATGGCAAAGCGATCAAAGCTGTCTCCTATCTTTCTTTGAAGGTTTTGTTTGGAAAGGGAACCTCTTTCTATTTTCTGCTGCTTTCAGAAATGCTTTTGAATGCCCTTCTAAAAATACGGCCTCTTGCTGATGATGCCCTATACTGGCAGAAATGGGGCTAGCTGTGCTGAAATGATTAGCGTGTCAGTGACACAAAGCAGTTGCAGCAGTTTAAACTGAAGTCTGGCCAGGTTCACAGTATTACCATTTGGAGTAATAAATCACATAGGAAACTCTTTGAAGTCCACTCTTCGAGCGATGCACCAAACTGTTTCCTGCATCAAGTGTAATAGGAAAGGAAGGAAATTATGTTACGCTTCATGATTGAGTTCCAAGGTGGCTGGTGGGGTAATATTTCTGTAARCCAACTACGTCAAAAGTGTAATTTTTATCCTTGCTGGTTTTGTTTTTCAGTATACGATAAATGGAAAGAAAGTGGAAGTAGCCGTGAAAGAAATAATTGCAGGGAAAGAAGTTGCGCAGCGAGGAGCTTTCTCAAATCCAGAGACTTTGGACCTGTACCAAAATATCCCTGAGCTTCAGAATTTCTGAAGGCGCTTCCCCCTCTCCCCCTTTTTGCATCTGTTTTTGTTCTGTGTTTGTTTTTGTATATACCAATACTGTATGTAAAGAAAAAAATACTCTATTTAATACTAGTGGTTCTTTTAAAAGAAAAATATTTCGTTAAGTGCATTATGAAAGGCTTGGGTCGAGTGTAGCTCCCTTTTATTGGTTAAATATGCCATATGTCTTGGAGTTATTCTTCCAGCCTGGATGGAGAAACTTGCCTGTTCTGATTTTTGTACATATGATGAATGCGTCTTTTCTGGTTAGATTTACGTCAGCAGCCCTTCAAACTGGAACACCRATAGCCAAGATTGCAGTTCATAATAGAATATTTCTCTTTCAATAAAACATTCACTTTTCCTTTTTTAACTGGATTTTAGCTAAATTTGGGGCTTTTTCAAACCATATGTTTTAGAGCCAACTGCAAGGARTATGTGGCACTTTTAAATACGTGACCATGGAATGTGAAAGTATTCCATACAAAATGTGCATTTAAGTGTTTTTGTTAAGCCACATCATAATGCACAGCATCCATTTGACTTGACTCCAAATTATTTCGGTCTTCAAATATCTCAATTGCTGCTTTGTTTTATGATGTATCTTTCCTASTGTTTTAAGCTTTTTAGCTCACTGACTTTTAGGGATTCAGAAACTGAGAGAACAGTCACCTCCATAGTCCTGGTGGAATTCCAGATTATTTACACTGAATTTACTGGAATTATTCTGGATTAACATCACTAGATGTGGACAGCATTTCATTTCCCTGTATTAAAGTTCCTTTTTTTGTCTTAAAGACAACAGTCTAGTGTTACGTTAGCTAAGCAGTTCCAGTGTGTTCATTTATTAAAACCTGAGGGGTTTGTAACTTTTTTTACTAAATGTCATGTTGGAAGTGGAAGACTGTAATGTTTTCTAGCTCTGCATCCTTCCAGTTTTTAAAGGGAAAAATACTGTTAGGGAGTATATTAAAACCGTAAAATGGAAGCACTAAAYCTTATTTAGTTTTTCACAAAGAAAATGATTGCAGTAGTTGTACCAAATCCCTGGCATTCGTATCTCCTGCACTATGTGAATATTGTGGGTTAAGTATTTAATGCATTAAAATCTTGGATGTCCTGATAATTGTGTTGAATACGTTCAGCACTGATAAAGAGTTAATTAAAATAAATTGATTCTTAATATAAGTGTATATACATGTGTATGGATATATTTGTTTCCACTTTGACTTATTTAATGTCTCTTCCTTTTGGGTGGCATGGAATTATTTGTGGCTTAATTTGTTATCTACTGTAATAGTTGTGTCCAAATCTGCTCCRGAACTGTTGCTCTCTAAGCTTTACCCTGTTTTGTAGAGCCCAGGACACGCAGGACGTTGCTGCTGTGGTTGAACCTGCACAGCTGGCTGGTTTGCAGGTCAGCAGGATTTGCAGCCAAGAGGAATGGAAGTGTCCTGGAATCCGGCCCCGTATCGGCAGGGTGCTAAAAGCTGAGTGTTGGGGTATGTCACTGCTGCTAAAAGGGCTACGTCTGAGCACTGAGAGGCAAATTCTCCTTTACTTGGAGCAAAATCGAGGAGCTGATGTGGTTGTTCAGTTGGAGCTAGTGGAAGTTTTGTATTTCCCCGCTGCCCTGTGGCAGCCTCCAGGGTGATGGCTGCTGCAGAACTCGAGTGGTTATATAAAATACTGCTGCTAATAATTCAGGGAAACCGCCTATAAATGTGACTGAGTTGCCTCTCTGATGGTCTGTGACTGCATCAGAGGCACCAGGTCCGCCGCAGGATGCAGAGATGCCTCATTAGCAAATGAGCTAATGAATAAGCTGGTTTCCACCTGACCTTTCCACTGTGCCAAGTCAGACAATATCACATGCTGGGATCATGTATGTTTTAATATCAAGACCAAGCACTTGTTATAAAAGTACAGAAATGAGCTACCCAGCTGCCAATAACCTGTGATTAAAAGTACTTTTAAATTCCTTTCCCTTCTGGYATGCTATACATAAATTTTACATTAACTGTGACTTTGTATTCATTAAAACTTCATCATATTGTTCTTTAATTCATGCAAAATGTCTGGAGTTTACGAAGACTACAGATCCTTATTAATAAGTAATTTTCAAATATTCCATTAATTAAAGATAGTTTAGAAGCACAGATATACTAGGAACACGCACGGTGCCTAAAGACTAATGGATTTCCTTTAAATTCTATCCTGCTTGAAACACGGTGCAAAGTTTTGTTAGCAGCTTTAGTTTGGTCTTGACTAAGTTTTTTTCCAGACTTGCGTTGATAAGCAGCAAAAGGTAAGTGTAGCAGAGCAGTGCTGGGCTGTATAGTTGTTGTGCTTGTGTGGTCCCGATGTGGTTCAGATGGTGCTGGGGCTTGGGAAGGTCAAAACCTGGGCAGAAAGTGTCCTCGAGTGCCTTGGGGTCCCAGGGGTGCTCTTGGCTGCAGCTCCATCAAGCTGCAGCTCCTGGCAGGGTTGGCAACGCCGGATCCTGTGGGATTAGGAGTATTTGGGCAAGATGCTTTTCGGACCTGATCCTCTGCAAATCTGGGAGCAGCCCCGTTGAACTGGGTGCTGGAAATGGTCCGTTTGCCCTTGACTCCTTGACAGCTGCTGYTTTATTGCTCCTCTCAAACCCTCTGTTGTCAGTCTCTCTTAAATGAGTGCTTTCCCCTCCCACTGGCTTGTGATTCCAATTAATTTCCCTGGTTTAGTGGTGGTTCACACAGAAATAAAATGAGCCAGAACACTCTCTGCTCCTCTCCACAGCTTAAATTACCCAGGAAGAGGTTAAACCTAAATGGAAATAAATTGCAGAGGGAAGCCTTTATAAGAGTTTGTGCCAGTTTGACTAACTTGGTTTAAAAGGTGACCTGAGTTTAAGCAGGTGCGACTTCTAAGCCTTAGCAGAGCCTAAGGAGGCGGCCTCGGGTGTGCAAACGTGATATTTGACTGAGAATTTTAATTTGCACCGTTCTCATGTATAATAAAATATGCCAGATACATGACACTTCATGAATTAATGCAGGAGCGTAAAGCAGGCCGAGGGATTCCTGTGCAGGGTTTGTTCTCAAAATGCAAATTCCGAGGCGGGTTTTGTGCTGACCCGGCTACCTGGAGCGGGGAGCCCGGCGCCAGGCTCCGCTTTGGGCTTTGCTCAGTGTCATTACTGGAGCGTGTGCTCAAAGCAGAGCTTTCTTGCCCTGTTGCTTTTGTCCAACTGCTTTTCCAGCAGGGAATTATTTTCCAYGCACAAACAGGGGGTGAATTTGCCAAGGCAGCTCCGTTAGGCTGCAGCGGTACCTGCTTGGCCCTGTGAACTGAAATGTTGGAGGGTCCCTGTCTGTGTCTTGTGAGGGGAAGGAAGCTGCAATGAGTCTATTCAAATCTAATGAGTTTATTCAAATCTAAGCAGGAGCTGGGTGTGGGGAAAACAACGAAGTTGTTTTCCCCACACCCAGCTCCTGCTTAGATTTGACCTTCTGTCAAATCTCCTGCCTAGGTTTGACCCTCTGTCAGCCCCGAGCGCAGCTTGGTTTTAGCAGCAGAAACCCGTCCTTGGGAGGCTCGGMTTTACAGACAGCGACCGAGATGAGCGAGCTGCTTCTCCGCAGGGCTCCTTCCTGGAGATAGGATGGTGATAAATGGCAGGCGTGTGCATTGGGGACATTCATGTAATTAGTGATTAATTAAAACAATGCCAGAGTGACATTAACTTGGGGATTGATGGCGGGATGAGAATTATCCTGGGGAGCACCGTTTTGGAGGGATTAGTGGAAGGAGTTCCCCAAACCCCCCAGTTTCCCCCCACATGCCTCCTATATCATTCATTGCCTTAAATATCCTCACACTGAGTTTTTCTGAGGGTCTAATTATAAACTTCATTATAATTGTTCATTAGTTTTATTTTGTTCAATTAGCCTAACAAGTTGCCAAATGAAATACAAGACTGGCAATTAGCTGAAGCTAACCGTAATGAGCCCCTCAAATTGGGTCACCAAATATGTTCTTTTATAGCACTATTTTTTCCTTTTCAATCAGCAAACAATAACATAAATATTCAGAGTCTCTCCTGCTCTTCAGCAGTGGAAACTTCCCACTCTTGTTTATTAGGAGGAGAGGAAAAGGGATATAYCACTGCTGTCTGCTCTTGCTTGGGAAGCACGTGGTCCAAGCGAGGGGATCCTTGTGCTGCTGGTCCTGGAGCATCCTAGGGTATCTGGTGCTCTGTGTGGGTCTGTTCCTTTGCTGGCAGGGGACTCTGGTTTTCCAAGCAGTGGGAATGTTGGCRAGGGCTGTGGCTTTATGGTCTGGCGCCTTTCCTGCAGATCCAGACGGCATGCGGTGTTCCTTGGTATCAATAACTTCATCCACAAGTCATTGGTGCTGGGGCCAAGCTGTGGAGATGAGCGGCACCCAGGTGGGTCCTATGTAGTGCTGAGCGCCAGTGTTGGCGGGACATGACCCTGGGCTCGGGCTTCTTTGGGATATTGCACCATGTTTGACCAATGAAAGCCCAATAAAACACGAAACCGCCCCAAAGACTACAACGCTCTGTAAGTTAATTTAAGGACCCTTGAGATGGTGAGTGTGGAGCAATGCAGGACGGGGCCAATTCACCCCTTGCCTTCCCGCTGCTCCAATCCCCCCGGGGTGGCCTCTGCTTCTGTCTCCAAGGCGCCCTTCAGAGGGGCCCTGTGACGGCTCCAGGTGTTTCCCGCTGCCAGGAATGGGAGAACATGAGAGAAGAAACCCAAAAGTGTGATGGGCCCCGCGTGTGTGCGCTTTACGTGGAGTCCTGGAGCACAAAGGCTGTTGTATGGAGCTGCCCCGTGAGCAGCAACACGGGCCTCCTAGCTCCTGCCACCGAGAGCTGCGTGGGATGGGATTCCCGGGAGCGAAGTCCTGCTGAGGGCGAGTTTGTTCTCCAAGCCTGGAGAGCCACATCTTGGATGCTGGAGGAGACAAATCCATCCTCATCTGCAGCTGATATCCCTGTCAGATTTTCCTCGGGTTTGCCCACAGCAACGTTGCTGCTCTGGATAGAAACCTGGAGCTGGATGTTCTCTGTCCCGCTCCGAACCTGTCTCCGCTGGAAGACAGGTCTCCTTTCCTGGAGACCAGGTTCCAGGTTCCATGTGGTCTCCATTGCTGCTGGTGTGGACAGCAGTGTGAGGATGGTGGCCCCGGCCTGGCAAGCCAACCCAAGCGGCGTTTTGTTGCCACCAAGCAACAGTCCCAATGGCAAGTGGGGTGAACGAGTCAGATTTTCACTGATTTTTCTCAGAATTAGAGGGCTGTTTGTTTTGATCAGCTCAAAGGCATCAAAAAAAGGATGCACCCAAACTACACTGTGAAATAATTTCTCTTTATTTTGACAAAACTACAGGGTAAAATCAGATTCATTGTAATTATGCAAATAACAGCTCATGTATTTTTTCATACCCCATTATTTCTCTAAAATGTTTTATTTTTTTGACTGGCTATTAGGAAAAATACCTCCTGCCCCATGTCCTGCCCCAAGTTCTGCAAGGTGTGGGGCTTCTGCTACTCTCCTTGCTTGGCAGAAAGGTTTTACTCCTTTTCCCACCTCTGCTTACAGAATTCCTCATTTTGGCAGATACCCAGGAAAAAGCTACCCATCTCCCAAATCTTTCAGCTTTAAAGTATCCAAAATAGTTATTTGTTTTTTGCTCCCCAGCTAAAGCTATTAGCTCTGGGGAACTTCTGCATGCTGCAGCATACCCCAAAGGCGATGAAACGTTGGCAAAGCTGGGATAAGCAAACGCTCATCTAACAAACGCTCTGGTTGTCTGGAGCACCTCGCACCCRAGAGCTTCAGAGCATCCCGGAGCTGGGACTTGCCCAAACGCCCCTGGATGTGGGGCCAGGGCAGCTCCCGCTGCCTGTGGGGACCTTCCTACCCTGGATCTGCTTCGGTTTTGTTCCTGCTCTCACTCCATGGWGTCTGCGTTGGTCAAATCCAGCCCAAGCAGCAGCTTTTCCCAAATGCTCCGGCACTGCAGGCCCCAGAGCCATTCAGGCTCCCCTTCCTCGTGCCATCAGCTCGCACTTGGGTTTTCCTCCTAATCCACTAAGCGACCTGAAAAGGTGAATCCCTGCTGCTCCCCTTGGGACTTGGCAGGACTCCCCTTGCTTTGGCACTGAGTGATTTCAAAAACCACCAGCTTCCCATAAATCCCATCTACTTAGTGTGGGGATAGCTTCTCCCTAGGAGTTTGTTTTCTCACATGGAAGGTGCATTTCCTTCTCCTCCAGGGAAGAGGAGCGTTCATTCCCCTTCTCAGTTGCCTGGAGTGGTTAAACATTAGGCTTAATTTTTTTTTGTGATCATAGCAGGGCTTGGGGGGCTAAACAAGAGCTGGTTTATGCASGGAGGGGGAAAATCAAATGCAGAGACATGTTTGCAAACGGGGTCGGGCGTTAGCTCTCCTTTTCCCCCTCAGCTTTTCTGCTGCGATCGCGGAACAACTCCCAGCCGAGTAACCCCCTTTGCAGCCTGCTCGGCTCAGCTGGTTGTGAGCCGTTTTCGGGCCGTTTTCGGGCCGTTTTCCGCCCGTTTGGCCGCCAGGGGGGGGCCGCGCTCCGCGGTGCCGCCCCGCGCTCCCCGCGGCTCCTGCGGCYGCTGCCGCGCGCGGCTCGGGCGCCTCCAGCCCCGCATCCAGCCCGCGTCCAGCCCTGCATCCAGCCCCGCGTCCAGCCCTGCATCCTGCCCCGCGTCCAGCCCTGCATCCAGCCCGCGTCCAGCCCCGCGTCCAGCCCCGCGTCCAGCCCCGCGTCCTGCCCCGCGTCCAGCCCCGCGTCCTGCCCCGCGTCCTGCCCCGCGTCCAGCCCCGCCTCCTGCCCCGCGTCTTGCCCCGCGTCCAGCCCTGCATCGTGCCCCACGTCCAGCTCCACG